GTTACAATACAATTTCAGTACAATAGGGTGAGGAGGGCCTTGCTTGTGAGAGCTTACAATCTAGTAGGAAGGGCAAGTGACACAAAAGGTAATAATTGTTTAGATTGAGTTATTGGAAGAAGTAAAAGGGCAGTTATGTTGAGATGAAATTGGCTTCCCTGAAGAGGTGGGTTTTTAAGGATCGCCTAAAGGTGGGCAGCGTAGGAGTTAGGCGGACAGATTGGGGTAAGGAGTTCCAGAGGATGGGGGACACTCTGGAGAAGTCCAGGAGGCGAGGATGGGAGGAGGTAATTAGAGAGCTGGAAAGCAGGAGGTCTTGAGAGAAGCGGAGAGGACAGTTTGGGTGATATTTTGAGATGAGGTTGGTGATGTAGATTGGGGCGTAGTTGAAGATGGCTTTGTATGTTGTTGTTAGTATTTTGAATTTTATTTGTTGGGCAATTGGGAGCCAGTGGAGGGATTGGCAGAGAGGGGCGGCAGACACTGAACGGTTGGTAAGGTGGATGAGTCTGGCAGCAGCATTCATGGTAGACTGAAGGGGGGATAGGCTGTTTAGGGGTAGGCCAACAAGGAGGGAGTTACAGTAGTCGAGGCGAGATATTACAAGGGAGTGAATTAGAAGCTTTGTGGTCTCATTTGTTAAAAAGGGGCGTATTTTAGAAATGTTACTGAGGTTGAATCTGCAAGATTTGGATAGTGAATGGATGTGGGGCTAAAAGGAGAGCTCAGAGTCAAGGATTACACCGAGTACCCTGGCTTGATGGGAGGGGTTGATCGTAGTGCTGTTGATTGTGATGGGGAAGTTGCGGGAGGGAACACAGAGGGGAGAAAATATTATAAGCTTAGTTTTTGACAGATTGAGTTTGAGGTAGTGGTGTGACATCCATGCTGATTTGTCAGTGAGTAGATTAGAGATACGTAAAGAGACAGAAGAGGGGAGCTGAGGAGTGGAGAGATAGATTTGGGTGTCATCAGCATAAAGATAGTATTGGAAGCCATGGGAGGCTATCAATTGACCCAGGGAAGAAGGGTAGATAGAGAATAGAAGGGGTCCATGGACAGACCCTTGGGGGACCCCCACGGAAAGAGGAAGAGGAGAGGAGGAGGTAGAATTATAGGTGACACTGAAGATGCGCTGAGATAGGTAGGAGGTGAACCATGAGAAAGCGGAGTCTTGGAGGCCAATGGATTGGAGTTTATTAAGGAGAAGCAGGTGGTCAACTGTGTCAAAGGCAGCAGAAAGGTCTAAAAGTATGTGTATAGAGTATTGGCCATTGGTTTTAGCAGTTAGTAGATCGTTAGTAAGTTTTAGAAGGGCAGTTTCTGTGGAGTGTTGCAGACGAAAGCCAGATTGAGACAGGTCAAGGAGATTGTTAATGGTAAGGTGTCAACTCAGGCGGTTGTAGATCAGCCGTTCAAGAAGTTTGGAGATTAATGGGAGCAGGGAGATGGGTCTCAAGTTGTTCAGACTAGTGGGCCCCAAAGAGGGTTTTTTTTAATATGAGGGTCACCAGTGCTTGTTTTAGAGGGGTAAGGACGACACCATTAGAAATGGAGAGATTGAAGACGTGAGTAAGAGAGTGTAGGATAGAGCTATAGGGTTACTGGGGGGTGGAAGGAGTCCAGGGGGCAGGTGGTTAGGCGTGTGTTAGACAAAAGATTAGCGACTTCATCGTGGTAACTGGATCAAATGAAGAGAGTAGTGAGTGTGGTGGCAGGCAAGGTGTGTTTGGAGTGGGAGAGGTCTGGACAATGGAGGTTTCATTGCCAATTGCATCAATCTTGTCTTTGAAGTGATTGGCAAATTCCTCAGCAGTCAGTGAGGTAGTTGGAGGAAGCGGTGGGTGACGTAATAGGGAGTTGAAAGTAGAGAACAGCTGAGGAGGACTAGATGAAAGGGTGTTAATGAATGTGATAAAGTAGGTCTGTTTGGCTGTGTGGAGGCAGGTACTGTATTTTTGGAGGGCAGATTGATATAGGGGGAAATCTTGCAGGGATTTGGATTTACGCCATTGACGCTCAAGCGCACAACTATGTCTTCTGAGTCTTCTAGTGTCATCTGTCTGCCAAGGCTGTAGTGACGGGGGCCTGATTCTGTGAGTGGGGAAAGTGTGTCCATACAGGATGAGAGTGAGTTATTGTAGAGAGAAGTGGCAAGGTCAGGGCAGGAACGGGTTGTGATTTTGCCATAAAGGTAGTCAGTTGCTGAGTAAAGAGAGGGGTTAAAGTGGCGAAGGTTCCTATGAGTGGCGGTTTGCTGATTGGAATGGTGGGGGCGGATGAAAGGGAGAGTGTGAATCTGATGAGGTTGTGATCAGAGAGTGGAAAAGGGTTGTTGGTGAGATTGAAAGGAGTGCTGAGGTGAGAGAATATGAGATCAGGGGTGTTATCATCAGAGTGAGTAGAATTGTTAGTCCATTGTGTTAGGCCAAAGGAAGAAGTTAGGTTAAGTAGCTTAGAGGTTGCATTGTTGTTAATATTGAAGCGTGATACCGGTCCTGGAGGCCGATAAATCACAGCAATCCTTAATGAAACAGGAAAACAGATGTATACAATGAACTTCGAAAGAGGAAAATGATAGAGAAGGTGGTGTGTGGGAAGAACTTGGAATGTGTTTTGTGGCGATAGAAGGAAGCCAACACCCCTCCCTTGAGTCCACTGGATCCGGGTGAATGAGTCCAGTGGAGGCCACCATGGGAAAGGGCAGCCGATGAGGCAGAGTCAGAATCCTGGAGTCAGGTTTCAGTAAAGGCAAGTAGGTTAAAGGAGTTGGAGAAAAAGAGGTCATGGATGGAGGTGAGCTTGTTACAGACTAAGCGAGCATTCCAAAGGGCACATGAAAAGGGGGGACTGGACCTTGGGAGCAGATATATGGGAATGAGATTACTTGGATTGCGGCTGTTGCCAGAGGAAGAGGGGTGTTTGGTGTGCTGAATAGACTTAGATTGTGGGGGGCCAGGATTAGGGGAAATGTCCCTGGATAGCAAGAGAAGCAAAAGGGTGAGAGAAGTAAGATGAGACCTAGATTTACAGTAGTGCACATGCTCTAAAATCCTGGAGGATTTGCCGGACTGTGGGTTTAGGATGAGCAGACGTTGATGGGTGCAGTAATGCTTTTGTTGGTAAATATAGTAAATAGAACCTTTTCATAGATACTGTATATGTACATCATAGCGGAAAAAGTTACAGCTGAGGAGAAAAGAGGTACAGAGGGATCTGGCTCCAAATGAGGGACAGCTGTTAGGTATGTATGTACTGTAGTCAGGGGTGTCCCTAGCCTATTTGCCTAGCCTAGCCTATTTGAGTCTCGGGGGG